TGCCTCATTTTATTGTGCTTCACAAATACTGCATTTTTTACAAATTGAAGGTTTGTGGCAACCCTGCGTCAAGCAAGTCTATCGGCGCCATTTTTCCAACAGCATGTGCTCATTTCGTGTCTCTGTGTCACATTTACTACAATAAATATAATTTAGTATTGGATGTTTGGCATTGTAGCAGCATTTCACACGATTTTAATTGTGACCGGGAGAGAGTTCATAGTGCCAACAAGATTTGTTGTACAGTAAAGGTTAGAAAGGGTATAGAGAAATAAGGTTTGAACTGAACTGAAATGTAGGTAGGGCAGACATGTCATTAATTTCAAATTGACATGTCTTCAAGGTGTTTTGCAAAGCTGTGTCTGTGAAGTGTCCCTAAGGGTGACTAAAGCAGCCAGTTCTGCCATAATTTGAATATTTCCCTCAACCCAACAAGCAAACATGGCTAACTACACAGTGTCTGTAGCATCTGTACTTTCATCCATGGGAACAGAATTGACAACACAGTTTAAGCACTTGGACGTTAAGGCACAAAAATATTTCTGAATAAATTTTCTATTTCCCTTGCTTTTATATCTTTTAATAAAATGATGTTTGAGAGTGTTTGCTTCAAACTGGACAAGTAATGTCAACAGTGCACTGAAGGCATTCCTTTATAAATTCTGCAATTTGCAGTTTTTTCACAATAGGATAAGTGACTCACTGTGGCACTGTTTGCTGCTTGAGCTTTTTCCTTTAGCAAAAGTGACTGTTGACCCAGAAAGTTGACTTTTTAATTGTTGTAATTTATCACTCCAAAAATGTTCTTCCAAGTCACTGTATGTTGAAGCATGTTTTGTACTATAATGCTTCTGATGATTATAATCTACCATTACTGCATTCATATCTTTGTAAATTAAACTGTGCCTTTTGTTTAAACTCCACAAATAAGTATTTGAGAGATCACTTTTCTTGCAATACTCGCATGTAGTCATACGTAAATAAGTAGTTACTGATAAACAGACAGCACTCATGCTTGAAAATACCACCAAACTATCTTATGTGAAGCCCCTATATAAAAGATGCATGTGTTTATTTGCCATGTTTACTTTGTCTTTGGAAGTTAATAGTACAAGGAAATGATGATGTTACATGGGCCTCACTTGTGGACTAAACAGCTGGCCACAGCCACCACCATCATGCAAGTACTGTGATGTAGCCACTGTTATTTCCAATCACAAAATTTCAGTACTACTGCTAAGCATTTCTTGTAGCCAGTAAGTCAACAATTGTGACTAGTTTGTATTCGGCAATTTGTTAGTTTTATTACTGATTTGCTTAAAATAAGTATTTAATTTTGGTTGTAACCAGTTTTATCATACAGATTGATAAATACCAGATGATCACAAAAATGCATATGAGTTGTACAAATCACATCAGGGGGGCTGTGGGTTTAAAACCTCTGGTTTAAATGCTGTATTCCTATACAGAAGTGGTGATTTGAAATGGACGGCCATTTTTAAAAATATGGTTTAATTTGCTATTCCTGTAACTGGTTCTTGCAGGTGCAAAACTTTTTGAACATATTATATAGCATTTATAATTGGATAGGATTTAGGATGTCTGTTAAACCAGACAAATAATTGTAAATAATAACAAAAATTGGTGCCTGATGACATATACATAGAGTATGCTTAATATTCTAATCAGAATCTGAAATTAATTAATACTGACAGATGTCATCATTCATACTGGTGCTATAAAGTAGGTCATGACTGCTTCCTCTCCACTACCATTTCTCATTGTCTTGTCATGTACTACTGTTGTAAATAGCCTTCCACAAAGACTGAATGTCTTTAAATATGTTGTTTAAACTTACAGTGAGTAATCCATGTTATCGATCCCTGTGCCACAATTCAACTCTTTGTCTGCTGGGAGCCAGCCGGAGTCAGACAGAGCCAGGCTATTCTTGTGTGTGCCCAGATGGTTTAGTGAAAACCATTGCTAGTGACAACAAGAGCAACAGTCCACAGGTAGGATTTGAATTTGCAACAGCCACCCTGTAGTTACTCTACTGCTCAAGATATATAGTTTGTTCAGTATTAATAGAATTAAATGACAGTTACAATAATATATAGAGAATATTTTATTATGTTTTAAACATAAAATGCCATGTGAGATGCAAGGTTTTCACAGCAGTGAGAATGATGTTTTCTGATTTTGATGGTGTATAGAATCAGAATTTTGCTGAATTTTGTTTCATTAAATTGTTATTATAGGACTTTTAATCACCAGAAAATGGTATTAATTTTGTATTATATGAAAATATTACGAAACTGTTATTGCAATTAATGGAGTTAACACTTATCTTTGAATTTTCATTAAATTTTTGTTTAAAACTGTGTACTAAATTTTCAGAATTATATTGCTACTTATTAAATTTTCATGAAATTTACAGTTTCAAAATGTAATGTTCAGTAATACAGCATACAGTTATCAGTTTATTGTTGTGTTATTAGTGGTACTTAAAATGGAATAGCACCTGGCAATTGAAACAATATGCACAGGGCATTGTTATTGGTTACAGCAAGAGGAAACTGAAAATGTGTCAATCCTGTAGGATTACACACTTAACTAATGTGAAAACTTGGAGTCAGAGTTAATGAATTCAGTCATATAACACCAGATTTACTGCTGAGATTCTACTTTCAATTTGCCCTTTACTGAGATTGTAACAAGGTTAAAATGTAAAATATATTTTAGTACCATATGTATACTGTAATTTGTATGTGATTTCCCTGTTGTCAGGTTGTGTGCATACCAACTGTGAGACCTCCGAAGGTGTGTGACTTAGACTGTCATAAAGGAATGTGTCAGATTGTGAACGATGTTCCTACATGTAAATGTCTGTCATTGTACAGTGGTGACAGGTGTCAGCACTACCGCTGTTCACAGTATTGTAAAAACAAAGGTCTGTGCTTTGCAGACCTTCTGGCCACTTTTTCAAGTGACTCTTCACCTCCACTTAAGGTAATTTACACACATCCTCTCTATTTACACTTGAGCTTTATAACATAATCAAACATGTAGGATGCTCTTGTCTGTTCATTCTCATAGTTCATGTTCCAAACCATTTGATTTCCTAGAAGTGAAGTGTGAGAGTTCTTCTGTACAAGTGTGTTTTTGAATAAATTTCATTTTAGCCTGAATTGGTACACTGTAATCGATGGCTTACTGCACAGACACTAGATACAGAAGAAGATTGTTTCTTTTTAAGGTTTTAAATTTATTTGAAAAGTGTTTTTAATTTATTCTGTATTTAATTGAATACTATGTAAAAAGTGTGCATCATAATCCCTTATTTTTCTGATCAGTACAATAAATTACAGCTTCTTGAATACCAAGTACCTGATTTTATATTAAAAGAATGTTATCAAGACCAGCTGTTAGAGACAATCTTGAGCCAGTTCTGACTGTCTCTCATTTTTTCTCAATTTTCCAAGTGTTTGTTTTACAAAGGAGTAAGAATCTGCTTCAGTTGAACTGAATTTATATCTTACTATTGCATGATACATGTGATTCATGAGGCATGGATTCTGACATTGCCTCATTGGTGTGGCCACTTTTCAGACAAAAGTAGTTAGTTTTTGTGAAACTTTTGTTACTGTATAACTGTATAATAATTAACTTACTCCATATCTTATGGAAGCTGAAAATGCATTACAGTGTTACAAGAGCCTATGATTCATGTCCTTTGCCAGATGAATCTGTATCACATCATCACACCTTGTTTCTCTCTGGGTAATTTTCCTTGTATTGTAATATTTAAACTGAAACCACCCACTTCTGATTTTAATGTTGTATACACCATACAAGCTATTTCTCCTCTTGCTTCACTGATAGTTTTCATGCTATGTTTTTTGGTCTCTTCTTTCTGTTTTCCATTCAGGGTTTATCCAGCTACTTTCCAGTTTTGAACAAATCAGCACAGTATTATTTGTCTTGGTCTGTGCTTATGAACAGAAGTACTGAACATTGTGGTCAAGTGGTTAGCTCTCCTCCTTCATATTCAGGAGGTCCCAGGTTCAAATTTGAGCCCAGATACTATCATGACTGAGGTTACCTCTGGTTTTCCTCAGTCCTTCCAAGCAAATTCTGTGATAATACCTTAAATTAAGTGACTACTTTCATTAATCACCCTATCATTTTACACGGTATAGTCTGAGCCGCTGACAACATTATTAAATAAGTCATGGATACATAAATGAAAATAAGCATTTGATCTCTGCAGTAGTTTCATTTGGCGCACACGTCAGGGGACATTTAGTTCTAGCAATAAATAATAAATAAACAATAATTATGAAACTGTTACTATCCTGTCACCTGTTGCAGTGTAACTGCCCTCCTCAGTGGACTGGGGAGCGCTGTGAGTTCCCAGTTCTCATATGTGAGAATCGATGCCTCAACAATGGTACCTGCTACAGACCTCGCCCAGGTTTGGCACAGTGTAATTGCCTCCCAGGTTTTACAGGTATGTTAAATAATTATTCCTAACCAAGTTCTCAGTTTTCTTAATCCTGTAGATGATGCATCAGGCATTTAAATGTTCTATTTACAGTTTTATGTAGACCTTGTATGTATCTGCTGATTGCAAATTGTGATCCATAGCTACATAACTAAATGAAGGCAGTCTTTCTTGATATAGAAATAACCACTATGTTTTAATCACTTGTTACCCAAACAGAGAAGTGAGACAGCACAGTCATATATGGCTGGACCTCTGTAAGACAAGTCTAACATTTGCTCCCCATGTGGGATTCAAATCATGTACCACACTTCAAAGCTCAGTGTAGTTGTGTGAGCTTTGTATTTCGGTATGTATCCTTGTAAGTAGAAACCTGGTATCTTTCAGTGTGAAATTGCTTGTACTGCTACAGACATGTACGTGAGGCTCGTGTTTTTCGTGCTGCGCTTATATCAGCCTTTCATTGGTATTAGAGTCAGGTGCTGAGCCTTCGGAGCAGGTCTTGGATTCAGGACCAACTCAGTCCACCACAGATAATTTTACTTGATACTCAGAATGTTGGAGCCTGCAAGTTGATTATCATTCTTATTTTAGCAAGTTTACTTTCTCAAGTATTTCAGAACTAAATTGAATTTCTTTGTCATCACAACAGCATTGCACATTTTCTCATATAAGTCAAAGTACTTGAAACACGCTCAGTTTTTATTGTATAGAGTTGAGGTTAACATTAAGATGAATCTTGTGCAGATGGGTTTTGAAGACCACCGTCTAGAAGTGATTTAGGACTGTGCTTTGTTATTAGTGGTATTTAACTTAGATCATTTTCAGATACTATATTCACTGAATTTGCATCAAATATATTTTTGGTTTAAAATGTTCATGGAAGAACACTAAAGAAAAATGTGTAATATAATCCTTGAAATAATTTACTTGAATATTGCAGGGAGTCGCTGTGAGAATTGTGTCAGCTTCATATGTCAGAACGGAGGAATCTGTAACCGCACTAATGGCGTCGAACAATGTAATTGCCCCAGTGGGTACAGTGGCTTGCGCTGTGAAAGATCTGACTGTGAAGACTACTGTGTGACAGTAAGAATATCAAGCAATTCTTGTTTTGACTTTTCTCATAATAACTTATGCTACATTAATGAGTATATGATATGTGTGCATTTGCAGAAATTTTTTATGTGTTTTAAAGGTACAAGAACTTTAAGGTAACTGAACATTAATATATTTCATAATTTGTGCAGTGAGACACCTTAGAAGGTGGCAGAAGTTTGGTGAAACATGTAGGGATATATGAATATTTAATTGAATAGATGTATGGTTTATTTTGGCTTGAGTCTTGTATTTTGAGACTATTGATTGTTGGAAATTTTGCTTATGAGACCCAGTATTTTATGTTACTGACCATAATATTACTTACCAGGAATAGGAGGACAGGACAGTGCTGCACTTGGGATGATATTGTAACGTGGGGCGGTATTGCGACCTTAATTGTCAACCCTGATTTATTCATGTTAAATTAAATCAGTTACTGAGGTCTGCACATACAGTCAACTCTCTACCACAACAACACAATCTGAGTCTCTGTTCTCTGCCCTCGACGAGCACACACACACTCTCGCTCTGTCCTTCGAGTCTATCTGGTCCCCCAAGCTCGGCGCTCTTCACATTCGCCAACACATCGGCCCGTAGCACCCCACTGGACACACGCTGGCTCCTCAGCCGCCACGGTCCACGAACCCGGTGCTCTCACATGCAGCCGACCTGTCCTTTCTCAGCGCCACACTAGACCTCTCGTTGACTCCAATCACTTCGCTCTACCACACACTTCTCTTACTCCCGATTCACAGCTCTGTTCTTTCCACACTCATCACTTATCGCTTGCCACCGCTGTCCGCAACAGCATCTCACTTGCAACTACATCTGACTCACAGCTCAGGTCTCCTTCCACACACT